CAAAAACATGGTGGTAGTCCGGCTTCTAGTAGGCATGTCGATGTGGTAAGCATCATGAACTGATTGTTTCTTTCGGCGAGTGAATTGTTCTGGGGATGTCCTGGAAGCGACTGGTCTAGTGGAATCCGGAGTTCCTTGAGTGCTGCTTCAAATTGTGGCGCATCATCCGAGTAAGCGTTGGTGACCTTTCTCTTACCGATATAGTGCTTCATCGCCTGCACCACTTCGTCACTATTGCTTGCTTTCAATGGATAGCCCCATATCACACCGGTGAACCGATCTCGAATCACCAATACGTCCTTATCCGGCATGATCCCATCTCTCGCCATCTTCTGGGTGTTCATGAGATCGAAAGTGATAAGGTCACCGAATGCCTTCAATTTCCGTTTGAAAGCTCCCTTGCTAGTCTTGTAGTGCTTCATCTTTGCTCTCACACATGACTTGCAGTATGGGTTCTTGTATCGGTGCGTCATCAGGTGCAATATGGATTTCGCCTCGTTCTTCAGCACTCCTGGTTTTGATAGTCTGGCTTCCCCGTCAACCACATCGACTTCCAATAATCCCTCTTCATCTTCACCAATGTCACTCTCCTCTCGTTCAGAATCCGCATCACCTCCATGTTCGTCGTCTTCGGCTTCTTCAGGTTGACCTTCGTGACCACGATCGATTCTCGGATCTCCTCCGTCATATTCCTCTTCAGGAGAATACCCGTCATCACCGTGTTCCTCTGGTTCTCCTTCGACGCCTGCAACAGCTGGATCGATATCAGATTCACCATCCTGACCTCTCTGGCTATCTTTCTTCTTTCTCCTCCGTCTCCGTGGTTTCTTGGGCGGAGGTTCCTCCTGTTGTGTCTCCTGACCTGCTGTGGCCTCATCTTCATGCCCCACACCTGACAGTATGCGATGAAGTATCGTGGCCAAGCCGTCTGGTCTTGGTAAACATCTCCCGTCATCATCATTCACCTTGATGTAGGGTATGTTGTCATGCACCGATAGCGGAATCTTGTTCGCGTTCTGGTCGATGAGGTATGGCAATTGATTTGCCGGCCATACGAATGAGTACCCTTGTTCCATGCACCGTTTCCCGATGGAAAAGACTGATGGTGTGCTCTCCAACACCTGTGCCTCGGACATCATGGGTAGTTCGTCCACATTGATGTCCACCATCTCTGATGTACTAGTTACACCATTCGCTGTCATGAAGCTCACGGATTTGGGTCCTTCCTTGGTGGTAAGGCCCATGGCATTGACTTTCTCTCTTGAGATCAAGTCGTGTCCACATCCCGTGTCCATGATGAAGCGTATCGGTGGTCCATCATACCTCTCCACAGCCATGAACATCGTGTCTCCTGGTATCGTGTAGTTGACAGAATCCTTCCTTACTACCTCGCTGGTGTTGAAGTCAGACAGGTCGACGTTCACCTCGATTCCTTCATCTTGAGTGATTTGTATCCATGCCTTGGCGATGTGTTCAGCAGAGTATAGCTCCATCATCTTACCTTTGGCGTGTGCTACTCGCGCAGCTATATTGCTCACTCTGAGGGCTCTCAACGATGAAATGAGCTCGGTATCCACCTTCTGCACCTCACTCTTCTTCTTCCTGAGGGGACGGGTGTTTAGCTCGTTACCAGGATCGCAGGTAAACGTGGTCACATTCGCCCGGTCATCAAATCTGACTTTAAAGCGAAGCGCCAGCTTACCTTGTTGTACGTTGGGAAGTGCGGGTTGCACGTCCTCGCCATCACTCTCGATGTCTCCGCAAAGCATGAAGGCTGGCGCAGCCGGTTTGGGCTTGGCTTTGCCTTTAGCTTCTTGTTTTGTAGCAGGAGCAGCGTGATGCTGACGTCGACATTTGTCCCCGAACTTGCACGATCCTTTCTGCCAATTCCAACAGACCTGATCCTTCATTGGCTTAGGGCTACTGCTCCTGCCACCAGGACTCTTTGATCTGTCACCCTTGAGGCTTTCTGGTTTCTTAGCAGAACTTTTGTGCTTCTCTTGGTGACTAAACTTGCATTTGTCTCCTCTAGAACATCCGTTTTTCCCATGGAAGTGGAAGGCGCATCCTATCTTGGACGTATCTGCTGGAGTCGCTGACCTGCCACGATCCCCCTTTGGGCTCTTCGTGGTTGATCTTCCACGATCCTGCTTCTTGTCCTTCTTGTTGTGGTCCTTCGGATTAGCCTGAGGAAGTACTGGAGCGGCGTCATGCTTCGGTGGATCGGCCTTGGTATTCTTGGGTTTCGCTTTAGGGTCCTTCTTCTCCGCCGCTGGTGTGGCTTTCACGAGGTTCCCAAAAGCTTTTTCCCTTTCTTTCTTGTTTGTGGTCTCGATTGATTTCCGTATCCACTTCGCCATGATCTCTCGTAACCTCTGGTAGGTCTTATCCGGATCCTTATCCAACATGTTGTCGTACACGGACAAGTCTAACGCCATAACTTTGGAATCCTTAATCTTGTCCCAAAGCAGGTTGCGGAGTGCTTTGTCAGGAAGCATGTCATCCGCATCCATACCTGATATGATCTCATCCCACTGTCCAAGGAATCTGGATAGTTGATTATCCCCAGGGAACTTTAGATCGAATAAGTGCTTGGATGCATACATCACATCGACGTTGTCGGCACTCCGGAAGCTATCGACGATCAACGCTAACATTTCTCGTCCCTTGACCATTCCAGGAGTTGTGCCTCTCGCACGTCTCTGCATCATCTGCCTCACCTTCAGTTGTACGTCATGAGATCTCTCACCTGCTGCGTGGATGATCGTATGTAGGGTGATACCTAGCTTAGCGTCTATGCTAGCGAATCTTGCTTCGCCTGATGTCTCGAGCAGAAATGGGTCGTACGGTGATCTGAAGGCATCCGAGAGCCACTGGATCCAGTCTTCTTGTCTTTCGTCGCCCGATGCCGTCACGACTGCCGCTACAACCTGGGATTTCCAAACCTCCAGGTCGTGTATCTTGGGCCATGCAGGGATGTTGATCTTCTCGTGTTCCTTCCGAGATATCTTGGAGCCACCTGAGCTGGAGGATGAAGCGGCACCATGCTCGGTTGCGGCTGCATTCTCAGCATTCAAGCGCTCCTCTTCGTACCTCCTCCGGTACTTATTCCTCTCATCTCTGAGCCGTGCTGCGTGCGCTTCGAATTCCATCATGTCCTGTTGGTTCTGCATCATACCTTCGTAGTACTCCATTGCCTCTTTCTCCTCGGACTTTAATGACTTTTCGGTACGTCCAAGTTCCGCTCTAAGCTTGGTCATCATTTCGTTCTCCACATTGGGTTCTGATCCCATGTCTGGTGGTTTCAACTTCAGTGCGACCTTCAGTTGCGCTTCACTTGCGCTTGATTCGATCAATTCTTCCTGAAGACGTTTCAGCATCCTCTCTTTACGTAGAATGTCTTCTTCCAACATGTTCACCTTGACTTCGGCTTTCTTGAGTTCGGCGTTGGATGGTTGAGACGGTCGATCGGATCCTTGAATCCTCGCCTGTGTCAACTCCTCGTTCGCCTTCTTCAATTGCTCCCTGATGGTCATGATGAAATTGTCCTGATTATTAGATCGGTTGTTGAGCTCCTCATTCTCTTCTGATAACCATTTGATCTTGCTTGTATACATTGCTTCCCTCATCTTCATCTCTTCAGCATATTCGTGTTTGTTCCTGGCACTCTGTCTTTGTATTCCAACTAACTCCTGTCTACACAGATCCTTGACGTTCTCAGCATCCGCGATTGTAGCCATGACCTCGGTTACGGCTCGATCTCTTTCCGCCGATATAGCCTGGATCTCTTCCGTGCCGATGTTCACAACTTGACTAACCATCTCTGCGCTGTTGCGATCAGCGTACTCCCCTAACTGGGTGAGACGATCCCGCATTGCCACACGATCAGTGTCAATCTGGTATTGCAAATCGTGTGCTGCTGAGAGCAAACAGTCTCTGGATTCTGTAAGTTGGGAGATTCTTCGTTGATTTCCATATCCTTCGACATAACATTCTTCGAGGTGTGCCATCACTACTTCGTGGACTTCGGTCTCGTGTTGTATAATCTGGTTCTGTCTCTGCTCACATTCGACCATCCATGCGTTTTGGTGGTTCAACATATGCACTTCGGCAAGTAGTTGTGCACACTTCGCATTGAGGTCTCCATCGGCCCGTGCTAGATGTAGGTTGTCAGTGCTTGCCCTTGCTCCATCTCCAGCTTCGCTGTCCGACGGTACTGGTACAGTTGACCCATCCTCCAATGCTAACACTCTCACTGCTCCGGTGTCAGTCCTCCTCCTTGTCTCCCTAGGGCTACGGCCTGACCTCGGTGTCCCCCCCGGTGGTGTCGATTGCGCTGACGGGGAACGACTTCGTGCTCTACCTGTCGCAACTTCTCTCACCACTGTCAGAGTCTCCGCTTCGATCGTACCTGGACTAGAGTTGTGGGATGCACTCATCCGATCTGCGGCCGCAGCAGCTGCTCCAAAGGATGCAGTGCTGGCGTCGGATTGGTCCATCTTCAGTGACTGAGGGTAACTGATCTATCCGATGCGTGTGCGTTTAGATGGTGTTGTGTAAGGCCGTAGCTCGTACCCAGCTCAAAGGAGTCTGGATACGGCTGATAACCTGCGAACGGATGAAAAGTGTGCCCTGGCCCCGTTCTAGCCCTTAGTTCAACATGAAGCTCGCGCGCTAAAGCTCCTTTTTACCTGGTTGGGCACTTGAGCCAAAAGTATATGGCATGTACCTGTATAGCAACTATACTGGGACCTCATCCCTATTGACATTCATGGTCTTCACTCGCAATTCTCAGAGCCAAATCATTCAGGCTCAGGCTTCTTCAAGGAAGTTCCCGGCTCCCTTGAAGAAGCATGAGCCCTGCTGTGTCCAAGCTCAAGAAGCTACTTAAGGCTACTACTTAGTTGCTTACTACGAAAGCTTACTTACAAGCCAACTAGTCACTAGCGGTTTAACCCCCAGGTTAGTTTTTAAAAGAAGGAATGGACTGCAGCCGCGGCCTTTAGAAGGTCGGTGAAGTGCTCCACGCCCAGGGCACTGGCGAATTGGGCTTCCAAAGGATCCGGCATCACCTGTACGGTGATACCTTAGAGCACTGGCGGCAAAACCAATGCTACAAACCAATGCTAAAGCTGATGCTGACAAATGTTTCCAGAGCGTCTCCGGTGACTTATTCACTTCTCTGGTACCCTGGTAGGCCTTGTGCCTAATCACAGCATCTGACAGCCCTGCAGTCATCAAGCACTGTTGCTCAGTCCGCATGTCTCCAAAATCCAGAACACCCAAGGGGGTAACTTGCAGAACGCCAACGTCATCTGTCGGGCGGCAGCTGTCTTCCATGACAAGTGTGTCATTGTCCTGCCACACACTAGCAGATTCAAGAGCAACTTTCAACGCCCAAGTCTTTGATGGCCTCCAACAAAGCACCGACGGAGACCAGCTGCACTCGCTCTAACTCCAAGCATAGGTGTCGTGCCAGCACAGCACGTACTTCACCAACGACGATGGAGCTTCCATAGGTCCTGAAACGACATGTATGAATCTGTATGAACTGTGATGGAAATATGAACTGTGAAGCATCACCAAACAATCACACCTGGAGACCAAACCGGTTTGGGAGACACAGGCGCGACTCCGTCTTTCTGCGAACGGCAGGAACTGCACCGGTGTCGAGCTAAGTTGAAGCAAGTCACCCGAGCTCACTCTCACAGCTCACCGGCTCGCCACTCAGCAGCCGAAAGGCCATGGGATGTTCGAAGGTCCAGCTGCGATGCGTGCGATGTAAATATACAAAATACAATTAGTTATTGTTTCTAATAGCTTCTTGTTATATACTAGTAGTAAGGCACTTGTTACTACTAGTAAGGCACTTGTTACTAGTAGCTTTATTGGTTCACAGAAGGTCTGAGTCTCCGAATTTCAGGTGAAAGGAATTCATTCCTAAGGAGCGTAAGGGGCTAAGGCGAAAGCTATCCAAAGCCAATACACGTTTCAAGTTGCACAAATTCAAGCACGTGTGCTGGTACAGTAGCAAGGGGTAGTTGAGGCCAAACCCTAAAGTAATATATTTTCCTTAGCAAAGCTCAGTGCCGAAAAATGCAGAGTGCTGGTTGAAAGGGCCCCCTTTCACCAGTTTGGTTCTGTAATTGCTTCTCTAAGTTCTGCGGGCCACATCATTGAATTGGCGATCTCAGGAAAGCAAGAAGCAGGTCAGAACCTGAATGGCCTTTGAGTTTGCTGAGACTCAAACAAAGCGCTGCTTCTCATGGACCGCGTGACAGCCGAAGTTCTTTCCAACCGTGACATGCCAGTACCTTGCAAGAGAAATCATGTTGAAAAACAAAAAGGCCTCTTCTGGCCCCTTGGGCACGGCTTGTGTTGCTCATCAAAGTGCTGCTTGATCTTTTGCGCGATGGTGGGGCCTGTGAAGCGAAAGGACGAACCTTGCTTCACGTTGTATCACAATGTTAAGGCAGCGAGTCGTCCGTTGCCTTGTTGCTCTTGTCTTCCAAATTCTTCTAGCGCGTTCATGGAGACCTTCACCTTGGCATCAAGATTCATCTATGTACACCATTCCAAATGCCCCTTCCAAGCTCCAAAGCTCCAGGCAGCATCTTCGAGCATGTCATCAGGCATGTCTGCCGGCCATAGAATCTTGGCCTTACCATCTCAGATTCTCCAGCTACATCTGAAGTTATCCCGTCCAAAGCGGCAATCTGGACGTGGCAAGCATGGGAAGCCTTCAGATTCCCATCTCTTCTAGGTGTCTCGGAGTTCCACTTAGGTCCCAGAGCCACTTAGGTCCCAGCACCCCAAAGTACCTTGTACTCCTGCCCCCAACAAACACTGCCAAAAAAGCTGTGATAATACAAGAAAATACATTGAATCAGTCAAGCACAAAAGAACATCGTGGTAGACTGAATGACAAGAACTATATTTTGCCGAAACAGGCGTTGAATAAACCTCACTCAATCGTGCCTCTTGTGCCTTCTGCTCATCTTGGTTTTGCGCCATGGCCTGGATTCCGGCCGAGTGCCAACTGCAACGAACGACTAGTTGCCTAGCTAAACACGCAATGAATGAGTTGACCTTGCTGAGCTCCGAACAGTGCAGGCGCAAAGCACGGAAGGCGTTCTACTGTTCCCTAGGTGCCCTTCAGTCCAAGGGCTGCTTGACCATCAGCAAGCCAGCAAGAATAGTCCTCCAACCTTTCATAGCCTCTGTCCAAATGGCTTCACGTGACCGTTTCTGCCACAAGGTGGGACAAAACGGCATCTGCTTCCCCAAGCTTATTTGTGCATCCCCTCCAACCCAGTAGCGATGGCCTTCATTCTAGTGCAGTAGCGATGGCCTCAAAAGGCATCTGATTTCCAAGCCTTTTTGCATCCCCTCCATGTCTCAGTCTTCAAGTGCACTGGTCGATGACTCTTGCAGCACCGTGCACTCACCAATACCCAGTTGGGTCGATGCATTGCAACCACGATGTGGTAACCCACCGCCAAGGATCCTACCAATGTACACTAAGACTGTTTGAAAGAGAACTCAAAATATGTGTTCCAGACTGCATTACAGTCTAGCAAAGCCCGAGCGTGAGCATGGGTTCAAAGATCAAGAGTATGCAAATGCTAGACAAATTCTCAGAACGCATGCACACGGCAGAATGGAAAATCCGGTCCGAGTGTGAAAATCCGGATCTTCAGGTTCTTGAGGGTCTTGACCTCTCTGGTTTCAGCATTAAGTGCAGAAGCCTGAAGCGGTGAAACAGTCATCAAGTGATCCCATTCTGCATAGCGACGCCTGCGGGGGCCCAAGCAGGCTGACAAGCCTATTTTGGAGGAAGGAAGGCTAAACAATAGTCAGTTGGCTGGGGATATTCAAAAGTTCCCCGCTTCATTTGTCGTCACTCTACTCAGCTCAGATCGCCCTGCAGGATACAAGGACGTGAGACTTGCACCAAGTCAGTGTTGGTGGGGGAAGCAAGTAGAGAAAAACATAATGAGGTTACCAATGAAGCAGATTCTCCCCGAGCATTGCAATAACATGTACACCAAGAGGCCAAGAGGTGTGTGTGTGTGTGTACCCCTTGGAGTCAGAGGGAACCTTAAGGTGTGGAACAGGGGGCGTGACGGTCGATTTCCTAGTCACGCCAATGAAGCTATGGAAATCGACTGGAAGTTTGGACGCAAACTTCCGTACCTGTTCCCTATTTAGGAAAACAGGAGGAAATGGTACTCGACACACTTGTGTGTCGGTGCCTTTCCTTCTGTTTTCCTCTAAGGCTACCCTATAGGTTGCAGGTAGGCCTCCAAACTTTGTAAGGGGTTTTTAACCTGAACTCTGGCCTCCACCCACTAGAATGGACCCCCAACTTTTGCTGTTTTGCTGTCTTGCTTGTCTTGTGTTTCTTGTTACCTACTAGCGAGGGCCCCCAACCAACCTGCCTTCGACGGCCTCCAACCTAAGAGCGAAGACCTCCAACTTTGACCGCTTTGCTGTCTTGTGGTTTCATGTCTCTAACCTACTAGCGATGGCCCCTCAACCTGCCTTCGACGGCCTCCAACCTAAGTGCGAAGACCTCCAACTTTGACCGCTTTTCTGTCTTGTGGTTTCTTGTCTCTAACCTACTAGCGATGGCCTCTCAACCTGCTTTCGATGGCCTCTAACCTAAGAGCTATGGCCTCCAACGTTTGCACCTTGTTTTACTCAGGTTTTTTTAACCTAGGCTGGCGGGTGGCACCGCTATCCAGTCAGTACGCATATCCATGAGTGTGTGAAACCCTTGGAGTCGTGGTTTTTGTTTGGGGGGGCTGGTTTCGTTCGTTTGCCAAAGAACTGTCTCAGGACATGTGAAGACGGCAGTTCCTATGTCTTTTTTCAACTTTTCCGAAAAAACGAGTCAAGTAAACGAGACCCCGAATTAAGAAAAAAACATGTCAATTCTACCACAAAACACTGGGTTTTGTAGGGAACACAGTCAGGCTCCGTGCATCGATCACACCCACTGACATAAACCATGTGGGGTTTTTATAAAGTTTTTGTGGTTTGGGTGACTTCCTCATGTGTCCAACCCGGAGGGATGTTTATGTCTGTTGTAGACGCACCCATACAATGACCGCACGTAGGAGACATGCGATGCGACACAGCCCCCATTGCCTCCCCCAGCTCAACCACCATCGGAGCCCAAAGATGCCTCTTGGCTCGTGCAGTTCGAGCGGCAAACACTATGCCTTTTCAATCAACACTGCTTCTGGCCCCACAGAAGCTCCGGCTATGTAAGAAATATGTTAAATACATGGACATAGAATTGAAGACCAACCACAAAATGGTCTTTCCCATCTTGTCAAAAGAACTTTCCACATGGAAGCGCAGAAGGCCTGAAGTAGTGGGCCCAAATCTTACACCATCCTATGTTTAGCAAGTGCTGTAGAGAGCAAAGAGTACCTTCAAGCAGTGCTGTCCAGGTTCCCGTACGAACAGTTGGAATACAAGAAGTCTTGTCTCTGAAGCTTTCGTTCCAATGATTGCAAGACACGCTCCCCACTAACGTCATGTCTTTCCTGAAGTCTGAAAAAGTTTCGGAGGAGTTCCCAACAAGTTTTTGGGACTGCCCGCAACAGTTGCGGTTCATTATACACGTTGAAGAGAAGCAAAACCGCTCCACACACACACACACACTTATGGATATGCGTACTGACTTGACAGCGGTGCCACACGCCGGCCTAGGATACCATTTCCTAAGGGTACAAGCAGGTACGTCTGGCTGATCAGGCCAGATATCCGCATGTGCTGTGGCCGCTTCGTTGGA